TTTGCACTCAACCCCCATCACCATGCAGTATAGCTATCCTGAAGTCAGCACTCACTGCACAGCACACCAGACAGGACATACGCAAATCTGTGATTTTACCGTTCCCCACTCCACCCCCTTGACTTTTCTGATTCCCAAGCAGTTGTGTTTCTTTTCAATAAATAAATTTTCTTTTCAATAAATGGATTTTATGGCTTTGAAAACATTATTAATACATAAAGTAAAAGATTCCTTAGCCCAGGAAATAAACAGGCACTGCAAATCTGCTTAGCAAACACTGATTCCTAAAGATTGCAACTACTGCACTTCACTCCCATGCAGGGCACCAGATATTACTGCTGGTTTTCAGCCTCAAATTGCTCCCTCAAGGCATCCCTAATCCTTGCAGCACCGCGCTGGGCCCCTGTAATAGCCCTGCTCTCTGGCTGTGCAAATTCAGCCTCCAGGTGTTCAACCTCAGAGGTCCATGCCTGAGTGACGCTTTCACCCTTCCCTTCACAAATATTATGGAGGGTACAGCACGCAGATATAACCGTAGGGATGCTGTGTTCGGCCAAGTCCAGCTTCCTATACAGAGATCGCCAGTGGCCCTTTAAATGGCCAAAGGCACACTCCACAGTCATTCAGCACCGGTTCAGCCTGTAGTTGAACCATTCCTTGCTGCTGTCAAGGCTCCCTGTGTAGGGTTTCATGAGCCACGGCATTAGCGGGTAAGCGGGGTCTCCAAGGATCACAATGGGCATTTCAACTTCCCCTACTGTGATCTTCCGCTCTGGGGAAAAAAGTCCCGGCCTGCAGCTTCCTGAACAGCCAAGTGTTCCGAAAGATGTGTGCGTCATGCACCTTTCCTAGCCAGCCTGTGTTAATGTCAATGAAACGCCCACGGTGATCCACAAGTGCCTGGAGAACCATAGAGAAATACCCCTTCCGATTAATGTAGTCGGATGCTAGGTGGGGTGGTGCCAGAATAGGAATGTGCGTCCCATCTATCGCCCCTCCACAGTTAGGGAACCCCATTTGTGCAAATGGTCGACTTTCCCACTCCAAACTGGTTTGCGACCGACCGGTAGCTGTCTGGAGTTGCCAGCTTCCAGATTGCAATAGCCACCTGCTTCTCCACTGGCAGGGCAGCTCTCAATCTCATGTGCTTGCACTGCAGGGTGGGGGCAAGCTCCTCACACAGTCCCACGAAAGTGGCTTTTCTCATCCGAAAGTTCTGCAGCCACTGCTCGTCATCCCAGACTTCCATGACGATGTGATCCCACCACTCAGTGCTTGTTTCTCGAGCCCAAAAGCGGAGTTCCACAGTGCTGAGCATGTCCGTGAATGCCACAAGCAATTTCATATCGTACGCGTTACGCGGCTCGATAGCATCGTCAGACTCCTCACTCTCACTGTCACTTTGGATCTTAAGGAATAGTTCGACAGCCAAACGTGACGTGCTGGCGAGACTCGTCAGCATACGCCTCAGCAGTTCGGACTCCATTTCCCACAGACAGATCGCACTGCACAGAAACCATTGAAAGATGGCGCTAAAGGTGAACGGAAACAAAGGGATTTCTGGGATGCGAAGCGATGCATCACGGGGCATTGGGACAGGACCCAGAATCCCCCGCACCTATGCCCCCTTCCCACAACCCATGGCGCCAGAATGGGAAGAGCTGCTCTGTGGGATAGCTGCCCATAATGCACCGCTCCCAATGGCACAGCAATTGCTGCAAATGTGGCCACAACAGTGCGCTGGCAGCTGTCAATGTGGACAGACTGCAGCACTTTCCCTACTCAGCTGTACGAAGATAGGTTTAACTCACAGCGCTGTACAGCTGCAAGTGTAGCCAAGGCCTCCGAATGCAAAGCTCCCACAAACTCCAATAACTGTAGTTACACACACACAGTTGTGCCCAAAGATACACACATTTAGAGAAGAAATTATCTCTCCTTAATGTTTATTTAGGGTCTGATCCTGTTTCCAGGGCAAGACATTGACAAAACTACCATTAATTTTCCTGGTGCAGGATCAACTCTTTTTGGTGGAGCAATGTCTGGTTCATTTTCAGCAGCATGGTTAAAAGAGGCATGGTTTGTAGTGGAAAGACAGGTATCATACCTAATTTGGTCACAAGTGGTACAACAGAGAGGATCTATACTGGACAAACTTACTTTATTTTCTCACCGACAGAATGACAAATAGTATGCCTTGTTATATGTAACTTGCATCTTCAATGTTCAATAGAACTGGGAGAAATTTTTCAGCCAAATTTTTTTTGACAAAATATACAGAATCAGGTACATTAAAACATCTCACAAATTTGTGTTGAATTCACCAAATTGTGTTGATTCAATAAAAAATGAAAATATATCTTTGAGAAAAGCAAACATTTCATTTTGACATTTTTGAAACAAATTTGTTTGACATTTTTAAAATCTACTTCAATTTTATTTAAAAAAATTTTTAAAACTTAAAACAGCATTTAATTTTTTTTCTCAGAGTACAGACAGTGAACGGAAAAATCATGTATTCATACCACTCTAGTCCTGAACTGACTATATTATCACCTTCCTCACTCCACTCGCTATCCATCTGCGTCCTGATGAGATATGGATGCCTAGCCAGTGCTAATCTTTAAATCTCTGTTATTTAGTAACTAGTTTTATGTCACAGGAATCTAATGTCTTTAAGACATCTCAAGCAAAGGGTAAATGAAGTTTTGTATCCCATGTACTTTGAGCCTCTTTGCTGTACGTCACACACCATTGTGCACTGTTGGACATTCGACCACCTGGGACAAAAAGTCAGGTCTCATGACTTGCAAAAAATAATGGAAAATTACAAATGTGCTCTTACAAAAATGTTTTCCAATCATTAAAAAGTGTGCAAGTAATGAAAAGGGGAAAGAGATTATAGGGAAAGGCTGAAGGAATTAGTGGTAGATCATTTCATTGTATATTCACAGCAAATTGTTCCTTAATGTGTCTGACTTGGGGCCTAATTCTGCCCTCAGATATTTGTAGTTGGCTCACAGTGATTTCCACAGGAGTCCTGTGTATCAAAGGGCATAATTTGGCCCTTGGAGATGAAGTGATTATTATTGCAGTTTCCTCATACTGACTACTACAGTTATAGTTCTGTTAAAACTTTAATTACTATTGTTTTCACATGCATGTAACTTTATGAATAATTATCTAGACCTGAAGTTAATTTTATTTGAAAGTTTGAGGAAAATCTCTTCAGCTGTTACTGCATTATTGGAAAATTAAAGAAAAATACTTTTTTTCGTGTTTTAAGGGTTTTTTTCTCTCCACTAACTCAAAAATAACTTGACACTAAACTCCTGCAAGTTGTATGTTAGTAGACCATATTGAGAAACAAGCTCTTTGCTAAAGTGTAGTATACATTATCGAAACAAAACAAAAACCATTTCTGGCCAAGCATAGTTGGCATCTACTAAGATTTTAAAAGTTAAATGAAGCATACCTACATTTTTTTATATCACAATGCAAAATTTTCTTTCCTATCATCAGATTCCTAATGGCTGCCTGGAAATTATACACAAACTGTATTAAAATAATATTATACACACAAGAGGGCTGAATTAAGGTTGCACAGGAAACCTTAATTCTGACATTTCCTAAATTTTGAGTGCCTGACTTTGTAATCCTAAAAATTTTCTTTCAGCATAGTTTTGTGTGTGTGTGTGTGTGTGTAACATAATATAAAGGGAGTCGAGATTTGTAGTGGAAACTATTTCCCAATAGATTAAATTTCTCCAGCTGAGTCTAGAAGGGGAAAGAGGGAGAAAAGTAGGCTAGGATACAGTTTGCCATGTTGGAATTTAGCCTGGGTGCCCAGAATGTGGTATATAGTACTTCTCATTAGTACACGTGAGCTCATGTGTACAATACTACAGATAAGCTTGTTATGCTGGATATTTGGCAATCGTGAATAAGTTTCATGTTGCTAACTTTTATACACAAAATGATAATTTAAAAAAACCTACCCTGAAAAAACAACCAAAATTCCAAGGAAAAGTGACATTTTCCGGGGCTACAAAGTGTCCAGGATAGCAACATGGAAGATTCTATGATCACTGGAATATCAAAAAAGGCCCAGAGGGATAGATCACAATGCCAGAGGATGGAGCAGAGCAGACTATTTCACTGCAATATCAAAAACATTCATATACAGAGCAAATTGTTTTTCACTCAATAATGAGATAAGCCTCCTTATTCTTCTGAAAAGAGAGCTAAATATATGATAACACTTTACATCAAACACCTCTGGACCCATCAGAATATGCTCTTCTTTCAATAAAGTGTGTAAGGCTCCCCAGGTGCATTGCACAGATAAGTTTGTTTCAAGTGGATGGAGTGAGGTTTCTACTGCAGCTATATTCAATGGGGGATGGCTATCATGTTCATGGGGGTGTTAATTATTTAAGCTATTGTAAATCTTTCATTAATACATACATCAGTGATCCCTTTACCGTTCCAAGTGAAGATACTCATGAACTGTACACGAAAGAAATGAGAAGAAACTCGAGTGAAAGCTATTAATCACTTCAGGAGGGAGGCCTACATTTGAAGTATAATGCAGCTATCTAGTGTGAAGCTTAGATGTATGTTTGATGTTTATACCAACATACATACTACATTAAGTGCATGTGCTGAGTGTGATGAAGCTATCTGTTCTGAATGATAATAATACAACTTTTATATAGCATGTACTATGTAAGAGTGGGATCGCTGCTTGTCTTCCAGGAATTTCATACACACCTCATACCTCATGAAGGCCCCAGTTCAAACTGCCTTAAGCATGTGTCTAACTTTATACAAGTTAGAATCTTCACTGACTGCAATGGCACTATGCACGTGCCGAGAGTTTGGCATGTGCTTAAAGTGCCTTGCTGATTCCTGGCCAGAATACCTGAGTATTAAGGGATGTGCAATCCCGTTTAATTCATAAAACAGGGGTCACTTCACCTGCAATAGCAAATGAGGAGTAATTAGAAATAGCGAGTGAAAAAAGACAGCAAACCCTTTGTTACTGTTTTGTCTTTACTACGCCACTTACTCTGTTCAGCTAGGTGTTTATACCATCTGTGTAAGATCTGAGCACCTAATTAAGAATAATCACTCGGTGACATTTTCCCCTTTTGCTCCCAGTATCTTGTAACATATTAAATCAGCTATTTGCATGGGGGACCCCTAAATCAGGAGATATTTTTTTCCCAAGTCACCAAAGAACCCTTCAGTTATTGCCAGCTTTCCATGCCTTTCTCCCCAAGCCCCCTCAAAGCCCATTGTTACAGCCAGGTGTCGATCGGGCAGTTACCCTGATGGGGTGATCCCTTTAACTTAGAGAGCTGGTGCTGCTCCCACATCCACTTCAGAAAGGGTGCTTTGATCTGCTGGTAGCTCTCTGTTCTGTTCTGTTCCTAGCACAGAGCTTTAATCAATCAGCAGGAGCAGTGGAGTTCAGATCAAAGTTCTCTCTGGCTCTGCGTGCAGCTGTTCAGCCACTAAACTCAATCACGCCCCACACTGAGGGGAGGGGGAAAAGAATGATAACCCTTCCATCTTTTAATCTTGTCTGTAGGGAGATGCAGAAAGCGGAAACCTCTTCCCCTTTCTAGGGGCCGAAGCGAAGGTTGGAGGAGACTGAGGAGGAAGAAGATGCTCCTATCCACAGCTGGCTTTTTGCCCTATGTTTGCCATTCATTGTAAAGGGGAATTATAGAGTCGAGTCTGTAAGGACTCAGGGAATTATAGACAAGTCAGCCTAACTTTGATACCTGGAAAGGTACTGGGACAAATTATTGATCAATCAATTTGTAAGCACCTAGAGGACAATGGGATAATAAGTAATAGGTGACATGGATTTTTCAAAACCACATCATGCCAAACCAACCTAATTTCCTTCTTGGTCATGATTACTGGCCTAGTAGATAGCATAGAATCATAGGACTGGAAGGGACCTCGAGAGATCATCTAGTCCAGTCCCCTGCACTCATGGCAGGACTAAGTATTATCTAGACCAGGGGTGGCCGACCTGAGCCTGAGAAGGATCCAGAATTTAGCAATGTACATTGCCAAAGAGCCACAGTAATACGTCAGCAACCCCCCCATCAGCTCCCTGCTCCCAGCACCTCCTGCCCGGCAGCCGCACCAATCAGTGCCTCCCCGCGCCTCCTGATCAGCTGTTTCGTGGCATGTAGGAGGCTCTGGGGGGCAGAGAGGAGTGAGGGCCTGGTAGGCTCAGGGGTGGGGTCGGGAAGGGGTGGAGTGGGGGCAGGTGTGTGGCAGAGCCAGGGGTTGAGCTGTGAGCACCCCCTGGCACATTAGAAAGTTGGTGCCTGTAGCTCCAGCCCCGGAGTTGGTGCCTATACAAGGAGCCGCATATTAACTTCTGAAGAGCCGCATGTGGGTCTGGAACCACAGGTTGGCCACCCCTGATCTAGACCATCCCTGACAGGTGTTTGTTTAACCTGCTCTTAAAAATTTCCAATGATTGAGATTCCACACCCTATCTAGGCAATTTATTCCAATGCTTACCCACACTGACAGAAAGTTTTTCCTAATGTCCAACCTAAACCTCCCTTGCTGCAATTTAAGCCCATTGCTTCTTGTCCTATCCTCAGAGGTTAAGAAGAACAAATTTTCTCCCTCCTCCTTGTGATATGATACATCTTGATTTTTAGTAAGGCTTTTGACACAGTCCCACATGACATTCCCATAAGCAAACTAGGGAAACTAAAAGGTGGGTGCAAAACTGGTGTAAAGACCCTACTCAGAGAGTAGTAATAAGTGGTTGACTGTCAAATTGGGAGGCATATCTAATGGGGTACCACAGGAATCTCTCCTGGGTCCAGTACTAGTTAATATTTTAATTAATGGCTTGATTAATGGGGTGAAGAGCATGTTTAGAAAGATTGCAGATGACCCCAAGCTGGGAGGGGTTGCAAGCACTTTGGAAGACAGGATTAGAATTTAAAACCACCTTGACAAATTGGAGAACTGGTCTGAAATCAAGATGAAATTTAATAAAGGCAAAGTAATACAGTTAGGAAGGAAAAATCAAATGCACAACTATAAAATCGGGTATAGCTTTCTGGGTTATAGTGGATCACAAATTGAATATAAGTCAACAATGTTGTGCAAATGTGAAAAAAGCTAATATAATTCTGGGGTATATTAACAGGAATTCCATCGGTAAGACACAGGAGCTAATTCTCCTATTCTACTCAGCACTACTGAGCTCTCAGCTGGAGTATTATTTCCAGTTCTTGGTCCCACTGTTTATGAAAGAGGTGGACAAATTGGAGAAAGTCCAGCAGAGAGTCACAAAAATTATTAATGGTTTAGAAAACTTGGCCTATGAGGAAAGGTTAACAAAATGGGCATGTTTAGTCTTAAGAAAAGAAGTCTGAGTGGAGATCTGATACGTCTTCAATATGTTAAGGGCTGCTAAGAGGACGGTGATCAATTGTTCTCCCTGACCACTGAAGGTAGGACAAGAACAGCCAGGGAGATTTATAATTAGAAAGTTTTTCCTAATATCTAACCCAGAGTAATTAAGCTCAGGAACAGGCTTCCAAGGGAGGTTGTGGCATCCCCCCTCATTGGGGGTTTTTAAGAACAAGTTAGACAAACACCTGTCAGAGATGGTCTATTGTTACTTGGTGCTTCCTAAGAGCTTGGGCTGGACTAGATGACCTCTCGAGGCCCCTTCCACTCTTATATTTCTATGATTCTATGATATTCTTGAAAATGTATACCAACCTGCTCTCTCCAGAATGATTGGGTCAGTGGGGGGGATCCACATAGTCACAGAGCCACTGGCCCTATTCCCAGCTCCGCCTACCTTCACAACTCTGGTTCCTGCTGGCAGGCAGAGATCCTGAACCCTTTGCACAGACTCCTGCCATCCTACTTCTCTCCCCCTTCAGAGGCATTGTACTGGTTTCACGGTATTTTGGGCCTTCCACATGTGTGAGTGATGAGGTTTGACTCTTAGGCCCAAATCCTCAAAGGCATTTAAGCCCCTAATTTCTATTAATGGAGGTTAGGAGCCTAAATGCCTTTGTGGCTCTGGGCCTTAGTGCTCAGGTGGTTGGTCTCACTCCCACTCTCACACACTTGAGAGATGATGAGACATCCGCCTGTGCTGCCAGAATCTAATGTTACAAATATATCTCTGTTTTAACACTGACCACCCTTCACTTGCTTAATCCTTCCCTAAAAAGGATTAAATCGGGGCAAATCCTCTTCATGCATAGGCATTGCTTCTATTCAGGGCTGGATTAAGGCAATCTGGAGCCCTCGGCTCA